GAAGAAAATAATCGATTTTCGGTCACTGTTCATCGTCTTCTACCTTCGGTCCATTTTCGGACATATCAATTTTAGTTACCAAACTTCAATTAAACTATATAGAAATGTTCTCCAAGGTTCATAGATCATTTTAGAATCATTAAAACATATTTTTAACATCAAATTCAAGGTTTATGATTCTTGGTTCTTCAAACATGTCAAACACAAAACTCAACCAAATGACCATTTATGAACGTAGAAACAACCTATATAAACATTCTAGTCATTAGATATATCTACGGGCTTACCTTGAAGCGTAAGGGAGGTTTTGAAAATTTTCGGGTGAAACTTCCGGCGACTCTATCTCACTGCTCCGGCGATCTCACACAAAGATGACAGCACCACTGCACCCTACTCTCAGCAAGGAACAATATAGAAGGAAGAATGAGTTGTTTTGGTGATGAAATGAGGGAGTTGGGTTGTGCTTAAATAGCCAAGTGAGGAAGGAAGAAGACATGGGTTGCAGCTTCCGTGATTGAGCGACGATTTGGAATCGGCGTAATTGAACAGGGCGCCGTTTGGTGTGTAGTCCCTGATTGGGACTAATTTTGGTCCTAGTTGGGGTACACTTTTTGTTCCAACTTTCTCCAAATTGAAATCCGATTGAACCGTTGGGGTCAGACAGTCAAACTCTACATAATGATATGATTTTCATTATTTATTGACAAACTTTAGAATTTACTTATTTTTGGGTGCTTCTCAGTAATTAATTAATTATAAATTAATTAACTTTGATAGGCCTATTTTTGGGGCGTTACATTTCTCCCCCTCTTAAAATAATTTCGTCCTCAAAATTACCTGAGTCATTGGTTGAAGAGATTCGGATATTGCATCCTCATTGACTCTTCGGTTTCCCATGTTGCCTCTTCAGTCGAGTGATTCCTCCATAGCACTTTGACTAGAGGGACAGATTTGTTTCTTAGTTCCTTGACTTCACGTGCCAAAATTTGGACAGGTTCTTCTTCATAAGTCAAATTTTCATCAAGAGTTATAGTTCCATCGGTCAAGACATGCGATGGATCAGAACGGTATCAATGCAATGATTCGGTATGGCCCAATATACCTTGGACTCAGTTTTCCCTTCGTACTAAACCGCAGTACTTTCTTCCATGGTGAGACTTTCAGGAATACTTTGTCATCAACGTTGTATTCAATCTCACAACGTTTTAAGTTGGCATAAGATTTCTGTCGATCGGAAGCCACTTGCAATCTTTCTCTGATTAAAAGAACCTTTTCTTCAGTTTCGCGAACGAGATCAGGTCCTTCATGCTTTTGCTCGCTTAATTCTGTCCAGCATACTAGGGTTCTACAGCGTCTCCCATATAAGGCTTCGTACGGGGCCATTTGGATACTCGCTTGATAACTGTTGTTATACGCGAACTCCATTAGCGGTAAGTATTGTTCCCAGTTGCTTTCAAAATTAATTACACATGCTCTCATCATATCTTCAAGAATTTGAATTGTCCTTTCAGATTGTCCGTCAGTTTGAGGATGAAATGCCGTACTAAAGTTAAGTTTAGTACCTAAGGCTCTCTGCAAACTCTTCCAGAATTGGGATGTGAATCGCGGGTCACGATCAGAAATGATAGACAAAGGTACACCATGTAATCTTACAATCTCACGGATGTACAACTCTGCCAATTTCTTCAAGGACATATCGCGTCGAATGGGAATAAAATGAGATAACTTGGTTAATCGATCAACAATTACCCAGACAGCGTCATTTTTCTTAGCTGATAATGGAAGTCCAATCACAAAGTCCATCGTAATTCGTTTCCACTTCCATTCAGGGATAGTAGGTGGATGTAACCACCCACTAGGCACTTGGTGTTCAGCCTTGACTTGTTGACACGTCAGACATCGTGTTGTAAATTCAGAAATTTCCCGCTTCATTGTGGGCCACCAATATGTCTTCTTCAGATCTTGGAACATTTTATTACTACCAGGATGCATGGTATAAGTGGTTTCGTGAGATTCACGCATTAAACGTTCCCTCACTTTGCCACTAGGAACTACCAAGCGATTCCGGTAGAATAAAATTCCATTATTTACTGTGAAATCTTGTCTCTCCCCCTTAGAGACAAGTTCACAAGTCTTCAAACAGTAGTCATCACGTTTTTGTGCAGCATGAATTTCGTTCTCAAGAGTAGGTTTGTAACGCCCCGAAATCTGGCCCAAAAGAATTAATTAAATTGTTAGAGCAATTGATTACGAATTGGGCCCAAAAAGGGGTTAAAATTATAATTTGGATTCTAAGCCCAACTTTTATGTCATCTCGTAGGAAATATTTTTGTGATCGCGTCGGTTTAGACGGCTCGCGAATCGAAGTTATGGAGCTCATGTTATGACCATTTAATCAGGTATTTTGGGTCCGAAGCCCAATCCTCTTAGGAATGGGACCATTAAATAAACCTAAACCTATTATCCACCACACGATTTCGTTATCTTCTTCTTCTTTCATTCTTCTTCTTCTTCTTCTTCTTCTTCTTCTTCTTCTTTCTTCTTCGTCTTCCCCAGCCAATCGCCGCCGCTGCTTTCTTCGTCGGTCGTCCGCCGCCAGTCGCTGCCCACCGCCGCCGAGTTGCACCGTCTCCAAGCCTCCAGCCGCCGTCGCCCTTAGCACAGCCGCCATCATCGCCGTCAAGTGCAGCGCTGCTGTTTCACCTTCGCCGAAAGTCCTTCCTCGCTGACGAATTGCAGCGCCGCCACGCCGAGCGCTGGACGTCGCCTCCACTGCCGGCGTCCTTCCTCGTCGTCGAATTGCAGCGCCGCCAGTCGCTGCTCATCGCCATCGAGCTGCCGTTACGCCACTGCCACCGGCGTCCGTCACCGTCGCCGCATCCAGCCGCTGCCCCGAGTTGATATCGCCGGCAGATTAACCTCCACGCCGGATTGATTGGTCGATTTCGCATTTTGACTCAATTTGACCTGTTCGTTTGATTTTGTTGATTTGTCTTCCGTTCGAGCTATCGATTCGATTTCGGCGAAATCCAGGTCCGTACTATGAAGTTAATAGCATTTAGAATAGATTTAATGGTTTGGATCGTTATATGTGTTTATGCTATAATTTGGCTAAATTGGTTAATTGAATTAAGTTGATTATTTGAATTGAATTGTTGAGGATTGTGAATTGACTGAACAGGTTTGACTTTGACTCGGGTTAGGTCACGTTTGACTTAAGCTTTGACTCGATATTTTGTCGACGTAGGTTTGACCGAATGGTTAAATCCAAAACTTTAATGAATTAGTTAAGTTAATTAATTAATTCTAATCGGTGATTAAGGTCAATTGGTTTATTGTGTCGATCATAGAAACTGGCCATTGCTCGGGCGGCTGCAGGGCCTGGTAAATGAGGTTGAGACGTGCGCACGAGGGTCTGTGATCTTGGGTTTGAGGCTATCGCCCGACGGATCCTACCTCCACCGAATTGAGGCTATTACGGATTGAGGCTATCTCCGTCATAGGCGTTAAATGTTAAGTGGTTTGACTTTGGTGAAAGTCTAAATTGGTTTGACCGGTGGTCAAAGAGTTAATGAGAAACCCGTAACACCTAGGTTGCAGATATCAGTCCTGTTCCAGAAACAAGATCGATGGAAAATTCTACTTCTCTGGAAGACAGTATACCAGGAAGTTCGTCAGGAAATACATCAGGAAAACCACATACTGTCGGTATGTCTTTCAACTCAGGAGTTTCTTTTCGTGTGTCACGTACGTTACACAGATAAGCTTCACATTTCATTCGAATGAGACGCCTAGCGTGTATGTACGAGATGAATTCAGTGGATCTAGGTGTTAGATTCTCTTTCACCTCTATAGACTTTCCCTCTCCAGACTTTAGTTGAATCGTTCGTCATCGGCAATCGATAATTGCTTGGTGTTCGGTGAGCCAATCCATTCCGAGGATGATGTCAAATTCTTTGTACGGTAATTCGAAAAGATTGGCAGAGAACTGATGTCCTTCAACAATCAATGGACAGTCTTGATAGACATGATCTAACCTCATACTATGTCCTAACGGGTTAGACACTAGTATAGGTTGTTCTAAGTTTTCTTTCATTACGTCAGCCTTGTCAGGCATAGGCACGCAGATATAAGATAACGTTGATCCAGGGTCTATCAACACATGCATGACAGAATCAAATAAGGAAAACATACCCACAATGACGTCAGGGTTTTCCTCAGCTCGTGCCTTCATTACATAAGTACGAGCAAGAGCTCGTCCATGTTGCTGACTCTAGTTCTTGGCCGGATTAGATCCCGCCGTTGATCGTTGACTTGGTGCAGGTCGTGCTGATGCTGATTTGCTGATACCTAGGGCTGTCGGAAATGGTTTTCCAGGATTAGTGGGGCAATCCCTTCGAAAATGTCCAGGTTTGCCGCAACCTAGACATAATCCTTGGGCAAGCTAACACTCGCCTGGATGATGTCTCCCACATGTATCGCACAATGGGTGTTTCCACCTTCTTGATTTGTTTTCCGACGCCGCAGAGTGCGTCTGCACCGATTTCCCCTTCTTTGAGAAGTGTGAATTGCTAGATTCCTGGAAGGGCCTTTTTCCTTTTGAGACAGAGCTGATGGGACGGTGAGTGCTTGAACTAACATTATTTGTCTTCAGATACTCAATGCAAGCACTCAAGTCGCTGCCTTCCCTAGCTATGAGATCATAGGCCTCCGCGAAATCCACGGTGGTTAGGACGGACACACGCGACCTAAGGTCAGGTCAAAGTTTCTTCCTGAATTCCTCGATGCGATCGGTTGGGGTACTCACCAAGGTTGGTGCAAACTTAGCAAGTATGGTAAATTTCTGACGATACTCAAGGAGTGTCATGTCTCCCTGTTGCAAATCGACAAATTCCTTACGTTTTTCTTCACTAAAACGTTTTGGAATATATTCTTGTTTGAATGCCCATTCGAAATGTGTCCATGTCCATGGCTTAGGGGTTCCTGCACTCTCATCAGTCCTCTTCCACCACTCGTAGGCTTCCTTGCGAAGCAGCTGAGACGCCAGTCGGGGATAGTTGCCAATGGGTACGTTAAGATCCGCCAACACTCGAGCAGTCTGCTCGATCCAGTCCCACGCAATCTGGGGTTCACCGATGCGATCCCCAAGGAATAATTCTGCACCGTTATCTCTTAGCGTTTTGTAGGTTATCACTCGAGGTGGCGGTGGTGGAGGTGGTTGAAACATTGGTGCGTTGGCTATTTGTTGCAACAGATTAGTTAGAAAAGCTGGAATCACAAGGTCGGGTTGACCACCAGCGTTTGGGTTATTCCCAACATTTTGTTGATTGGCGGGTTCATTTTGGACGGGAGGGGTAAAACTAGATGCTTCAGTATGAACACTGACGTGTTCATTGTTGCCTTGTCCGTGGGCGGATTCTTGACTCATTCTACAATAACAGAAATTCCTTTATTAGGATTCTTTTATTCAGTAGTTGAGTTTAAGACAGGAATTGCAAAGGGTTACAACAGTTGATACAATCAATGGATTTGAAACCAACAATAAGATAATTTTCTAAGCGTTTGCGTTCGATTGGTTGGATCGTGCCGAACCTACAGACGGGTCTTCCTTGCCCGACCCACATACACTACTGGTAGAGTCTACGCTGAACGTCTCTTCTGGGTCATCTCGTTCCCATGCAGCCTTGCCGTGCAGATAAATCCTTCGTTTCATTATTCTTGCGAATCGATGTGCACGTTTGTAACGTATCAACGAGTCATAGACATTTCGTTTGTTCTTTCGTCTTTTACCAAGTACGAAAGTGCGACTTGAATCAACACTTTATATCATTTCCGAATTAACAGTTGACATCTATAAAATTTGTTACAGTCAATTTCAATACTCATTTTTTTAATTACCTTCCTGGAGCAGAGGGGTGCGAGAGTTGTGGATGTGATTGACAATATTTTTTTTTCCAAAATATATAATATATATTTTTAAATCAAGAATTGATCCGAAGATCGTGTTTAAAACCATTTGCTCTGATGTCAAATTGTAACACCCTAATCCGTCCAGGTTTACAGCCCCTTCTGAACTAAAGTATTAACTTGGTAATCGTATAATTTAAAACATTTCAAATAACTTTATTCATCATATATGAAATTCCAAACATAATTGTAGTAAATAAGGAGTGTTTAATGCGGAAACGATTTTTAAACATGACTCATAATAACATAATCATTTAGTTTCTCAATAAATCCACCACGACTGTCTCGCCCCTTCCGCTGCCAAGAACATGCCATTCACTCATTCTGTCTACCTGCGTGTACCAAAAAAAACATACTACACGCTCAGCGATGAAGCTGAGTAAGCATATCTAAAGCGTCGAACATCCACATAAATTGAATCTAAATTCACAAACAACCATTTGATATCATGCACACAATATATGGTTCAAACATTCATAATATTTTCAGTAATTTATTCCAAGTCATTTGTTATTCAATATATCAATAATGCTCTTAAATTATTCTTAATCTAAGGCCACATCATTTTATATTCAGCTCTTAGCTATTCTTAGTCTAAGGCAATAATTCTAACCAGGCCCTTAAACTATAAATAGTTTAATGCAGAACACAAGAATCGATAATCCACCCTATGAGTCATGTGGATTACGTACCAACCGAACAATGATTTGTCAGGTGGGTGATATCCGGTCTGGATCCCGTACGTACGTTTTAACCCGAAATATGAATTGGTCAAGTAGGTATATCTTTAGAGTTCTTCTAGATATCCTTAATAATCATCATCAATATACAAGTGGGTATATCTTAGAGTTCTTCTAGATATCCTTAATAATATACACTGTTTTCATAATCACTATTAATTCATTTTTAATCATGACTTAATCATCGATAATCATTTTAATCAGTAGGTTTATCATTCATAATTATCCATAATAATTATTCATCATAATGATCATTCAACGTAATATTTAATAGCAAACAGCGGCCTAGTCTCGGGTGTTAACACCCGAACTTATCGTCATGTATCACATAATGTTTTATATGCCAAAAACATCATTTATTATACAAAATCATATTTAAATTGTTCATAATTAATTAGTGTTTTCAAAGAATATTTCCAAGAATATTTTCAGGGCACTGGAATTGAGGAAAAATCGATTTATTCAATAAATTAATATAAAAATCGATTTTTAAATATATATTAATCTATTAAATATAGAAAAATCGATTTTTCAACATATTTTAATCGATTAAATTTGTAAAATCGATTTTTCAACATATTTTTATCGATTAAACTTGTAAAATCGATTTTTCAACATATTTTAATCGATTAAATTTGTAAAATCGATTTTATAATATATTTTATTCGATTAAATACCAAAATCGATTTTATAGCTTAATATAATCGATTATTATTATTATTTTTATTTTGATACGCGTTATCTGAACAAGTTTTAATCGATTCTTAGGAAGAAAATAATCAATTTTCGGTCACTGTTCATCGTCTTCTACCTTCAGTCCATTTTCGGACATATCAATTTTAGTTACCAAACTTCAATTAAACTATATAGAAATGTTCTCCAAGGTTCATATATCATTTTAGAATCATTAAAACATATTTTTAACATCAAGTTCAAGGTTTATGATTCTTGGTTTTTCAAACATGTCAAACACAAAACTCAACCAAATGACCATTTATGAACGTAAAAACAACCTATATGAACATTCTAATCTTTAGATATATCTACGGGCTTACCTTAAAGCGTAAGGGAGGTTATGAAGATTTTCTAGCGAAACCTTCCGGCGACTCTATCTCACTGCTCCGGCGATCTCACACAAAGATGACAGCACCACTGCACTCTACTCTCAGCAAGGAACAATATAGAAGGAAGAATGAGTTGTTTTGGTGATGAAATGAGGGAGTTGGGTTGTCCTTAAATAGCCATGTGAGGAAGGAAGAAGACATGGGTTGCAGCTTCCGTGATTGAGCGACGATTTAGAATCGGCGTAATTGAACAGGGCACCGTTTGGTGCGTAGTCCCTGATTGGGACTAATTTTGGTCCCAGTTGGGGTACACTTTTTGTTCCAACTTTCTCCAAATTGAAATCCGATTGAACCGTTGGGGTCAGACAGTCAAACTCTACATAATGATATGATTTTCATTATTTATTGACAAACTTTAGAATTTACTTATTTTTGGGTCCTTCTCAGTAATTAATTAATTATAAATTAATTAACTCTGATAGGCCTATTTTTGGGGCATTACAAAAACGTACGTACAGGATCCAGACTGGATATCAGCCACCCGACAGTTCACTGTTCGGTTGGTACGTAATCCACATGACTCATAGGGTGGATTATCGATTCTTGTGTTCTGCATTAAACTATTTATAGTTTAAGGGCCTGGTTAGAAATGTTGCCTTAGACTAAGAATAGTTAAGAGTTGTTATGAAATGATTTGACCTTAGATTAAGAATAATTTAAGAGCATTGTTGAGATATTGAATATCAAATGACTTGGAATAAAATATTGACAATATCATGAATGTTTGAATTATATATTGTGTGCATGATATCAAATGGTTGATTATGAATCGAGATTCAATTTATGTGGATGTTCGACGCTTTAGATATGCTTACTCAGCTTCACCGCTGAGCGTGTAGTGTGTTTTATTTGGTACACGCAGGTAGGCAGAATGAATGATTGGCTGATTCCTGGTAGCAGAAGGGGGCAAGAAAGTCGTGGTAGATTATTGAATGATATAAATAATTATGTTGTTATGAGACATATTTTAAAGTCGCTTCCGCATTTTACTTAAACACTCCGTATTTCTCTACAATTATGTATGGAATATTATTTATAAATAAAAATGTTTGAAATATTTTAAATTATCAAGATTACAAAATCAATACTTTAGTCCAAAAGGGGCTGCAGACTTGAACGGATTAGGGTGTTACAATTTGGTATCGGAGCAAATGGTTTTAAACCCGATCTTCGGATCAAAACTTGGATATAAAATATTTTTTTTTACATATTATATATGTATTTCGGCCTAAACAAAATGATGTCAATCAAATCCATGACTCTCACATCCCTGTGCTCCACGAAGGTAATAAAAAAAAATGAGTATTGAAATTGACTGTATCAAATTTTATAGATGTCAACTGTTAATTCGGAAATGATATCAAGTGTTGATTCAAGTTGCACTTTCATACTTGGTAAAAGATGAAAGAACAAACGAAATGTCTATGACTCGTTGATTGATACGTTACCAACGTGCACATCGATTCGCAAGAATAATGAAACGAAGGATTTATCTGCGCCGGAAGGCTGCATGGGAACGAGATGACCTAGAAGAGACATTCAGCGTAGACTCTGCCAGTAGCGTATGTGGGTCGGGCAAGGAAGACCCGTCTGTAGATTCGTCACGATCCAACCAATCGAACGCAAACGCTTAGAAAATTATCTTATTGTTGGTTTCAAATCCATTGATTGTATCAACTGTTGTAATCCTTTGCAATTCCTGTCTTAAACTCAACTACTGAATAAAAGAATCCTAATAAAGGAATTTCTGTTATTGTAGAATGAGTCAAGAATCTGCCCACGGACAAGGCAACAATAATGAACACGTCAGTGTTCATACNGTATGTGGGTCGGGCAAGGAAGACCCGTCTGTAGATTCGTCACGATCCAACCAATCGAACGCAAACGCTTAGAAAATTATCTTATTGTTGGTTTCAAATCCATTGATTGTATCAACTGTTGTAATCCTTTGCAATTCCTGTCTTAAACTCAACTACTGAATAAAAGAATCCTAATAAAGGAATTTCTGTTATTGTAGAATGAATCAAGAATCTGCCCACGGACAAGGCAACAATAATGAACACGTCAGTGTTCATACGGAAGCATCTAGCTTTACCCCTCCCGTCCAAAATGAACCCGTCAATCAACAAAATGTTGGGAATAACCCGAACGCTGATGGTCAACCCGACCTTGTGATTCCCACATTCCTGGAAAATGTATTACAACAGATAGCCAACGCACCAATTTTTCAACCATCTCCACCACCGCCACCGCGAGTGATAACCTACAAAACATTAAGGGATAACGGTGCAGAATTATTCCTTGGGGATCGCATCGGTGAACCCCAAATTGCATGGGACTGGATCGAGCAGACTGCTCGAGTGTTGGAGGATCTTAACGTACCCATTGGCAACTATCCCCGACTGGCGTCTCAGCTACTTCGAAAGGAAGCCTACGAGTGGTGGAAGAGGACCGATGAGAGTGCGGGAACCCCTAAGCCATGGACATGGGCACATTTCGAATGGGCATTCAAACAAGAATATATTCCAAAACGTTTTAGCGAAGAAAGACGTAAGGAATTTGTCGAATTGCAACAGGGAGACATGACACTCCCCGAGTATCGTTAGAAGTTTACCAGTCTTGCTAAGTTTGCACCAACCTTGGTGAGTACCCCAACCGATCGCATCGAGGAGTTCAGAAAGAAACTTCGACCTGACCTTAGGTCGCGTGTGTCCGTCCTAACCACCGTGGATTTCGCGGAGGCCTACGATCTCATAGCCAGGGCAGACAGTGACTTGAGTGCTTGCATTGAGTATCTGAAGACAAATAATGTCGGTTCAAGCACTCACCGTCCCATCAGCTCTGTCTCAAAAGGAAAAAGGCCCTTCCAGGAATCTAGCAATTCACACATCTCAAAGAAGGGGAAATCGGTGAAGACGCACTCAGTGGCGTCGGAAAACAAATCAAGAGGGTGGAAACACCCCTTGTGCGATACATGTGGGAGACATCATCCGGCGAGTGTTGGCTTGCCCAAGGATTATGTCTAGGCTGTGGCCAACCTGGACATTTTCGAAGGGGTTGCCCCACTAATCCTGGCAAACCATTTCCGACAGCCCCAGTTGTCAGCCAATCAGCATCAGCACGACCTGCGCCAAGTCAACGATCAACGACAGGATCTAATCCGGCCAAGAACCAGAGTCAGCAACAGGGACGAGCTCCTGCTCGTACTTATGCAATGAAGGCACGAGCTGAGGAAAACCCTGACTTCATTCAGGGTATGTTTTCCTGATTTGATACTTTCATGCATGTGTTGATAGACCCTGGATCAACGTTGTCTTATATCTCTGTACATATGCTTGAAAAAGCTGACATAATGATAGAACAATTGGAACAACCTATACTAGTGTCTAACCCGTTAGGACAAAGTATGAGGTTAGATCATGTGTATCAAGACTGTCCATTGATTGTTGAAGGACATCAGTTCTCTGCCAATCTTGTCGAATTATTGTACAAAGAATTTGACATCATCCTCGGAATGGATTGGCTCACCGAACACCAAGCAATTATCGATTGCCGACGACGAGCAATTCAACTAAAGTCAGGAGAGGGAAAGTCTATAGAGGTGAAAGAGAATCTGACACCTAGATCCACTGAATTCATCTCGTACATACATGATAGGCGTCTCATTCGAAAGAAATGTGAAGCTTATCTGTGTAACGTACGTGACACACGAAAGGAAACTCCTGAGTTGAAAGACATACCGACAGTATGTGGTTTTCCTGACGTATTTCCTGACGAACTTCCTGGTATACCATCTTCCAGAGAAGTAGAATTTTCCATCGATATTGTTCCTGGAACAGGACCGATATCTGCAACTCCCTATCGCATGGCTCCTGCAGAAATGAAAGAGTTGAAGGCTCAACTACAAGAACTACTCGATAAAGGATTCATACGTCCGAGTGTTTCCCCTTGAGGAGCACCCGTCCTGTTTGTCAAAAAGAAAGACGGCTCGATGAGACTCTGCATCGATTACCGTCAATTGAACAAAGTCACAATCAAAAATCGATATCATTTACCTCGTATCGATGACTTATTTGATCAGCTTAGAGAATCCACTGTATTCTCTAAGATTGACTTACGGTCAGGATACCATCAAATCTCTGTAAAGAAAGAGGACATCCCAAAGTCTGCGTTCCGTACTCGTTATGGTCATTATGAGTTTACGGTAATGCCCTTTGCTTTGACCAATGCTCCAGCAGTATTCATGGATCTCATGAATAGTGTATTCCGCCCTTATCTTGATCAATTCGTGGTTGTATTCATCGATGATATTCTTGTCTATTCGAAGAATCGAGAAGACCATGCGAGACATTTGGAGATAGTACTCAGCATAGTACGGGAACATAAACTATATGCCAAACTGTCAAAGTGTGAATTTTGGCTTAATGAAGTTACGTTTTTGGGACATGTGATTTCTCAAGAAGGTGTTAAGGTAGACCCCAGTAAAATATCTGCCATCACCGAGTGGAAGGTTCCAAGGAATGTTCGTGAAGTGAGAAGCTTTCTTGGATTAGCTGGATACTATCGACGATTCGTTGAAGGCTTTTCCTCGATCGCAACTCCACTTAACAAACTTCTGAGAAAAGATGTGAAATTTGTATGGACCGATGCATGTCAGCAAAGCTTTGAGAAA